TCTGGTTAGAGTTTTCAGACAACCAGATACTCTTGTCTTCAATACGAGGTATAGACCATTGAATTCCCTAAATACACTGAATAAACACATGATCTTGGTTTTAAAATACATGGCAGAAAACCAACTTGCTATTTAACTTCCCTCTCAATTATTGTCCACGTTTGGGGTTTTGGAGACATGAGAAAATAGGGGGGTATCTGTCGATAGTAGATTTAGGACCTTGTGCAGGTTAACCTTTCTAAGCCTGTTTCCTAAGTCTATAACAATAATACAGTGATGAGCTGTCTGTCAAGATTAAAAACAATATACAGTGAAATTTAGCACGCGTTAGGAAGAAAACAAGGTTCAGAGAGGTTAAGAATGCCCATGAAACCAAGCAATATACACAGTGAAATGTGTAATAAGCGTAAAATTGTTCGATCTCTGGGTTTCAGGCAGCCCTGGCCTTCAACTTATGATCACACATTCATCACTGGGATTCAGGGATTCAGTGACTTTCCGGGCACCTGGGTGGCTGGTCATTTAAGTGTCGACCGGCTCCAGGTCATGACCATGGCTGGTGGTGAGTTCCCGTGTGCCCGGGCTCGCGCTGGCAGACTCAGAGCCTGGGCCTGCCGATTCTATGTCCTCTCCTCTGACCCTCCCCACATGCGTTCAGTCTCACCTCAAAATATAAACATAAACTACTTAATTTTCTAGCTCAGATTTTCTTCTCAGAGTAGTTTGGTTTACCCTACTCCCTATGTCTCTAGAAACTTCTTACCCCAGTTGTTCTGTTTCTACTACAAGTTCAATGTTTTTGCCTAAGAAACCAATGTTAGCCACTTCACTCATGCATGACTTTCTGTGATTTCTAGTCAGGAGATGCCAATTTATTTATTATAAAATTTTGTTTTATTTTTTTTAAGTTTATTTATTCTGAGAGAGAGAGAGAGAGGGAGTGTTCGAGCATAGGGGGCAGAGAAGGAGAATCAAGCAGGGCTCCACACTGTCAAGGCTGAACCCAATGGGAACTCAGACCATAACCTGAGCTGAGTAAGAGTCAGGACAGCTAACTGTCTGAGCCACAGCACCTACTTTATTTTTTGAGAGAGAGAGACAGAGAGAACGAAAGCAAGCGAAGAGCTGGGGAAGGGTGGAAGAGACAGAATTTTTTTTGAGAGAGAGAGGGAGGGCACAAATGCAAGCTCGAGGGCAAGAGAGAGAGAGAAATCTCGGAGGGGGCAGAGAGAGAGGCATGTGTAAACATTGAAATTGGGGCTCACCCACAGGCCAGGTCACAAGAGCAGGGCTCAAGCTCACCGATGTGGGCTTGAACTCAGAACTGTGAGATCATGACCTGAGCCGAGAGTCAGATATTTGTGAATACTGAGTCTAGTGGTGCCGAGAGAGAGAAAGAATTTAGCGGGCCCCAGCCAACATGGCTCCATCTCCTGACCCCGGGATGGGATTGACAGAAATCAAGAGTCCAAACTCAAGCAACTGAGCCACCTCGGACACCCTATTTATTTTTTTATTAGCTCTATGCCCAATTTAGGGCTTGAATTCATGACCTCAAGATGAAGGTTGCACTCCCTCTCCTGCTAAGCCAGCCCAGTGGCAGGAACGCTATGAATTAAATAAAAAAAAAATTTTTTTTAATTTTAGAGAGAGAGCGCAGAGAGAGAGAGAGAGAATGAAAAGCAGGGGAGAGCAGAGGGAGAGGGAGGAGAGAGATCCTCACAGCTGAGGCTCTATACTCAGCGTGGGTGATGGGTCACTCACACAAACCCTGGGATTATGACTCGAAACCCAAATCAAAAGGTTTGGCACTTAACCAACTGAGTCAACCAGGTGCCTCCAGGAATGACCAATTTTAGAAGAATTTTAAGACACATGGTTACTTTGGAGAGTAATTATTCTTTACAAACCAAGCTACTTCCTTTAAATTTTCCCTGGGGCAGCATCTAGGTAGGTCAGTGTTAAGACATCTGACTTACTCAGGTCATGATTCACAGTTGTAATTGAGCCCCAATAGTCGGGCTTGCTGACAGCTCACAGCCTGGGGCCTGTTCAGTGTCTATGTCTCCTCTCTTTGAAAATAAACATCATCAGAGTACTGATGCATAAGGGACACTTGTACCCAATGTTTATAGCAGCACTCTCAACAATAGCCAAATTATGGAAAGAGCCTGAATGTCCATCAACTGATGAATGGATAAAGAAATTGTGGTTTATATACACAATGAGATCACCAGATAAAATGAAAAGATCAAAATATTAATAATCAGCCGCTAATAACTCGCGATGGATCGACCATCGTTCTCTCGTCAAAATAATACTGAAAAGACAAATGGTTCCACTCTTATGGATCAAAGCTCTTTCTCTACTGCACTCATTCCTCCTGGGAGAGGGGAAGAAAAGCTTTTTAAAGGTTCGGTCTGGGAGAATAAAGCATAGGACTCATAAAGCAAAGATAAATAATAATAATATGTATAATAATATGTATAATATGTAATAATATATATAATAATAATAATATAATAATAATAATAATAATAATAATAATAATATATGTATGTATGTAATGTATGAGGTGATGGGGTGGGAGGAGGGGAGGGTGATGGGTTTTAGGAGGCACAACACTGGGATGAAGCTGGGTGTTGTGTCTCAACTTGATGTCA